TATATTATATATATATATATATATTACAAAAGTTTATCTTACGTGCATATTTTGATTTATATTTATGTTTATATATATATATATATGCTATTTTTATTTATTTATTTTTTTTTGCAGAAAGGAGCCTCTTGTGTCTCCCTCCATGTTGATTACTTAAATTTCATCATTACATCCAAAGATTGGGTTACAGCAGGGAGAAGAGAGAGTAAAAGGAAACATCAAAATGGAAAGTAAGTTAAAGTAATACAAGACATGTCTAAAACTAGAAAAAAGAGAACTTCTAGCTCCTAGCAATTCTGAGGTAAGATATATGTAATTTGTCACCCTTTATCAAGTGAGCCAGAATCTGTGTAGGGTTAGTAGCAATAGTTACTCTTTAGGATTCAACACCTTCAATAGCTAGATAATTAGCTGGTTTGTTGCCCTCCTTGTAGTTAAAACAGTAGTTAACTTGTATCTCCTTGGTGATATGTTTTATCTTTAGAATCCACTGTTGGATATGCCATGGGGGGAGAGCCTTTACCTATTTACCTATCATGTACTCAATCAGCATTGAGGAATCAACCTCAGCTTGGAGTGGTGTCCAACTGTTGATGGCAGCCATTTTAATGGCCCAGTAAAGAGCTGTTGTCTCAGCTTTCAGGGCATCTTCAACATTAATTGGAGCTTTGAAGAACATTTTGCATGAGGTTTTTCCCAATAAACCTTAATAACTTTTTTGCAAGTCTGATCCTTGCTTTGGTTAATTTTTAGGATGTTTGGAAAATCCTTCCAGCTTTTTGATATAAGCAAGACAATTAGCCTCCACTGTTTCAGTAGTCACAGTTTGTTCTTCATTCATGTTTTTGTTCCTTGCGTTCCATATGAACCAAGGAGTGATGAAAGGGATTGAACCAAGTTTGATTATTTACCAATCTTACCAGCACTTCTTCAGTTGTTCCCACCCCCAAGTTAAGAGTGTTGATGTGGAAATTAGTTATCCAGGAGCTCCAAACCTTCCCAAAAAAATCACACTGAAAAAACAAATGAGTAGATGTCTCTTCACTGCTCTGACAGAGTTTTCATTTTGAAGGTCCCTTTAAGTCCTTTAGCTTGAGAATATCATTTGTAGGTATTAAGTTATTTAGCACTCTCTAAGAGAAGAAGGCCATAGAGGGGGTTAGGAATTTGTTCCACAAATTCTCTTCCCAAGAATTTTCCTCCCAGGTGAACAACAGATTATAAATAGCTTGGGTCACACTTGGAGTGGAGTTAGCTTTAATAATCACCCTATCTTTTTTATTTCTGTCAAATTGGATTTTTGATATATTTCTCATTAAGTGTTCTGTAACAATATTTTGGATTGCTTCCTGAGGCCAATTCTGCCCCTCCCAGCAATCCTTCACCATGAGGTTTTTGTCCAACTTATCATCCAAGGGTTCAATTGTATTCTCTGGGCACCATTTGTCTTGCCAGAAGTTGATGTTTCCTTGTCCCATCTCCCAAGTGTATAATTTTTTAGCTTGTTCCTTCATTTTCAACATCTGTTTCCAGGTCTTACAATCCCCTAGTTTGGCCCTCACCGGGTTAGGGTATTTTGTTCTGCAATATTTGGAGTGCATGAAGTTGGTCCAAAGGTTGTCATTCTGTCTGAACTTTGCAGCCAAAGTTTGCACATGCTAATTTTGTGTAAATAATGAAATTCCTTGAAGCCTAAACCCCCAGCATATAGAGGTTTGGCAGCTTTCTGCCAGCTGGCCCAGATCATTTGTTTCCTTTGCCCAGACCACAAGAATCTGTTGAAGGTTCTTTTTAACATGAGTTGAGTACTTTTCTTCATCACAGCCACTTGTAAGGTATATAAGGGGAAGGTGGTTAAGATGCTTTTCAGCAAGGTTATTCTGCCTCCATTAGACAGGAAGGAATGAAGGAATTTGTGCCTCCATTAGACAGGAAGGAATTTGTCCACCCTTGGAGGGTAGCAATGGTTTTATCCACAATTTGTTTGTTCCTTCCCTTAGTATTCCTTCCCTTAGTAAGATATACCCCCAAATATTTGAAAGGGGTATCCATAGCTTTGAAACCAGTGAGCTCTAATGTCCACTGTTTGCAGGTAGTAGAGTATTTCTTATTGAAGAGGATGTGGTTTTTTTCTTTGTTCACTTCAAGGCCAGAAGCTTGCTGGAATTTTTGCATATCAGCATACTGGTTTTTTATAGCATTTTTGTTAGTCCTAGAGAAAATCAGGATGTCATCAGCATAAATAAGGTGGCTAATGTCTTGTTCGGATCTGTTGAGATATATGTTGTAATCTTTTCTGTTCCCGGGTTTATCTATAATTTTTGACAGATAATCCAGTGCCAGTATAAAGATGGTTGGAGATGAGAGATCCCCTTGTCTCAAACCCCTATTAGCCTTGAAAAAACCATGGGTTTTACCATTAATTAAGACAGTGTTAGCATTTCCTTCAAGCCATCTTTGGATGATGTTGCTGGAGTCTTTTGTAAATCCCCTAGCCTTCATAATCTCCATGATGAAGTTCCAATTGATCATATCATAAGCCTTTTTAGATCCATTTTAAAGATCATGTTGCCCCCTCTGCAAGGTTTATCTAAATCCAACAGAACCTCTTGAGCAATCATAACATTATCCCCAATGCTTCTCCCTTTCACAAAAGCTGCTTGTTTGGGACTAATAAGAGGATGAAGAATAGGTTGAATTCTGAATACCAAAACTTTGCTTATAATCTTACTGACAATGTTGGTGAGGTTAATAGTTCTGTAGTTACTTCAATAATCTTTTAGTGAGGATTTGGGGACAAAAATAATGGTGCCAGTATTGAAATAATCTTGTAAAGGTTGCCCCTTAAAATGGTGTTGGATAGCTTCAACAATCTCTAACTTGATGACCTCCCAAGCCTTCTTATAGAAATCAGCAGTGAACCCATCAGGACTTGCTATTTTGCCACTATCAATAGAGAAAAGGGCTTTTTTAATTGCTTCCTCTCCACGGGTTTCAGCTAAATTTATCCTGGAACAAAAATCCTTCTCATATTGGAACAATTCAGCTTCCACTTGTTATCTTCCAGTTAATTCACACTGCATTAGGTCTTTACAGTAGTCCACAACGCTCTCAGCAATCCCTTGAGCATTGAGCATCTCTGATCCAATTTATCTCTGATCCAATTTCCCTGGTTGTCTCTAATAGAGTGGATGGTGTTGCATTTTCTTTGTTATTTAATGAAGGCATGATAAAATTTAGTGTTTTTGTCTCCATCAATAAACTTGTATTTGGACTACATTCAGTAACTTTTCATTGGCTTCCAGGACGAATGATTCTCCCACCTGACCATTGTTGTGTTCTTTCTCCAGAAGTTGAAGCTCTTTCTCAGCCTGTTCTACTTCTGTCAGAATGTTCTCAAATGTGCTCCAATTCCATTTATTGAGAGCTTTAGAAGTCTTTTTTTGTAAATTACACAGCTTGATTAGAGGGTTTTTATAATCAAAATTCTTCCAATTCTACTTTACAATCTGAATGAACTCTCTTTGGCTTGACCAAACATTGAGGTATCTAAAGGGAGGTCTGCTGTTGTGTTCATTGGCAGAGATGGAAATTAACATAGGTCTATGATCAGACCCTACCAAACTAAGATGAGTGACATTTGTTTGCAAATAATTCTGTATCCAGCTGTCATTAGCCAGTATCCTGCCCAATCTTTCCCAAATTTTCCCCCTTCTCCAAGTGAACTCAGGTCCATTAAACCCAAATCAAACAGCCCAGCAGTATTCATGTTGTCATTAAACTTAGTTATATTTCTAATGGATGGATTTCTTCCCCCCTTTTTTTCAGCAGGTGAAGCAATGCATTTCAAATAGTAGGTGAAGAAATGCAGTTGAAATCTCTTCCAACAATCCAGGCAGTATTAGTCAAACTTATAATTTAGTGGATCTCCTTCCACAGTTCATGTCTGATTGTTTTAGAGGATCCAGCATAAACAAAAGTGGCATAATCAAATTGGTCTGCCATGTTGAAAGAGCAGTGTATAAATTGTGAGTGATTGAGCAAAACCTTGCAGTTCATTTCATTTCTACTCCAAATCCATATCTTATTGTTCAGATTAGCGGTAAAGGAGAACTTTGGGAAGGATTTGACATATTTCTGAAGATTTTGGTGAACCAAAGGTTCAAGAATAACCAAGCACCAGCACTTGTATTTCTTAATTAAAAATTTTAACCTTTTTAAGGAAGGGAGATATGCAATCCCCCTTATATTCCAACATAGCATATTAATCATGTTGTTGGGGTAAATAGAATGAGGGTTGGGACCTATATCTTGTCCTTCCCCTAGTTGTTTGAGAATTATTTTTTCTTTGGTCCTTCTGCTGTTCCACATTCTTTGTTTCAATTTCTTCTCTGATCTTCTTCTTCTTTTTTTTCTGTTGTGTTTGCCATTCACTTTCCATTGAGTATTGTATCTCTTGTATCATTTTCTCTGAAGATGTGGTGCACTTCATTTTACTGCTTGTGGACCCCTCCTTATTCCCTTTGTTTTGTGGGACTTGTCCCAAATTTTCTATTTCTTGGCTTGGGTGATTGCTGACTTTAGTGACCTCTTCCAATTCAACATCTATAGTTCTTTCATTGATTTGTATTCCTTCCTCAATTTCTATTGGACTTTGCTGTGTTAGAGATCCTACAGGTTAAGTTCCTCCTTCATGCTCCCTTTGATCACCCCATTGTTCTTCAGCAATGTTTGTTGTAATTTTAGTTAAGTTTTTTATCATGCTTGCTTGTTGTATTTCACCATCCTGACTCAGATTGATATCTGCCTCCTCAGTAGCTCCTGGAATTGGATTATTTAGTAGTCTTTTAGTGGGAGGATGTAGTCTTTAGCATTTTTCCTTGGTATGTCCAAACATTTTGTAATGTTGACACTAATAAGCTTTTTGTTCCATGACTACCTCTGGCCAAAAAACTTCTGCTTCATCACCAATCCACACTATTTTTAGCTCAGGCAATGTGATATTCCTTTCTATTAGTATTCTTGCACTTGCTAGTTATGCTTTGTTGTAAGTGGGTGCATCCACTTTGAGAGGAGTGCCAATAGCACTTCCTATGTTGAAAAGGGCATTTAAGTTGAACAGGTGAAGTGGAAGTCCAGGTAATTTGAACCAGATTGGTACCACTGGCGGTTCCTTGGAATGGTCAAAATTTGGTGTCCATTTTAGTATTTTTCATATCAGCTCCAGCAATTCTAATTATCTGTTTGGAAAATACTCTAGCATAATCTTCCTCTGTGGTGAGTTGTATTAGGAGGTGCGTTCCATCAAGTAATCCCAGCTTCCATGAGCCTATAAATTGTAGTGAGTCAAAAAAACCTCTCACTAGCTCCATTTTGGGGTGACCCAAGCTGAATTTGTCAATCAGAGTAAATTGAACTTCCTTGTTGAGATTGTTTAATTCTTGGTTTGAGAAAAAGACAGAAGATTCTCCTTCCTTAAGTCCAATAGGGTGAATGCAAGGTGAAGTACCTTTTTCTGCAGCAGTGTCATGACACGCTTGTGGGAACACAAGTTTTTCCATATCTTGCAGTGTATCCACATTTTTCCCAACCACTCCAGCATAAGTGGATCTAGTCTACTGTGCATTAGTTTCCAAGTCAATAGGGGATGCAATTTTAAAACTCACACTGCATCAAAGAATGACCAGGGCCAGGAGTAAAGGAAACCTTGAGCCTGGGTGAGTAAGAATCAACTCACAGGGACCCTCACATATGGGTGTAGTGTCCCTTGAGGAAATGTTGTGCCACCCTCACATCCTTAGGAAATACAATATACCCGTTTGACAGATTTTGCTGATCCCTTGGTTTTTTATCAAAAAAGAAAAATAAAATTATATATGTATATATATATATATGGAGATCAGGATGCTGGCGGCTAAGGAGGGAAGTGCTCTGCTAGGGTTTCTGGCAGCATGGTGAGCTGCTGGAAGTTTTCCTGGGGGAGATCTGGCTGTTATTTTCTTCAGGGTGCTTTTCTCTCTTCCTCCTACACTTTGGAAGTTTATCTCCATCACTCCTCTCTTAGGCTTTGGTGGATTTTTACTGTTTCATTGGTTTTTCCTGGTTGGTGGGTTTTTACTGTTCCATTGGAGGCTATCTGTTTTCTGCTATCTTTCCTTTCTCCTTTGGTTTTTTCTGTTATCTCTTGGCACTCTTTGTTTTTGTGGTGGTCTCCCTCCCTTTCCTGGTGTTGGGCACTGCTGTGTTGAGGTTGCTGACATGTGGACCTGTTTTGCCTGGTTTTGGTCCTTCTTTTTCTTTGGTTCTCTAGCTCTTTGTCCTCTGGTAAGTGGTTCTAGGGAGTATGGCTACTCCTATCGATTTGGACACTGATGTTCAATGGGCAAAAGTTACTTATGCTGGAGTGGTTGGCAAATCTACTGCCTCCCTTAATGATCCTGAACATTTAATATTCCCATAAAAATTTCATGACACTGCAGCAGGAAAGGGCAACAACCCTTGCATTCACTCCTCAGGTGTCAAGGATGGAGAGCCTGCTGTTTATTTCTCATCTCAAGAAATTATTAATCTCAATGACCAAGTTAAATTTACCTTGGTGGGGAAATTTCTTCTTGGCCACCCTAAGATGGACTTAGTTAGAAACTACTTTGAATCTCTGAAATTTAATGGTGATTGGCAAATTGGAATTCTTAATGAAAGACACCTACTTTTACAACTCTCTGGAGAGGAAGCCTATGCTAGACTCTTTGCAAAATAAGCCATCCAAATTGGAGGTACCACAATGAAAATTCTGAAATGGGATCCTGATTTTGACCCTAGTAAGGAACCTCCAATAGTTCCTCTATAGTTTAAACTACCTGGCCTCCCAATCCATTATTTCAATCTCAATGCATTATTCAATATAGCATGTGCTATAGGGAGACCTATGCAGGTGGATGCTCCTACTTACAGTAAGGCCAGACCTGCCCTAGCCAGAATTCTTACTGAGGGAGATGTTACTTTCCCTGAAATCAATAGAATTTGGATTGGTAATGACAGGGAGGATTTCTGGCAAACAGTGAAGCTAGAATAAAAGCCATACTATTGTCATCATTGTAGGATGTTGGGCCACACCAAGGATAGATGCTTTAGGCTTCACCCTCCCCCAAAGAAGACAGTGGCAAATCAGGGAAGGCACACCCAACCTATTTCCTCAGAAGGCTTAATTCGTGTAGACCCCCCTCCAACTGGGAATTTGGATGATATGCTAGAAACACCTAAAAGCTCTACTGCTCCTCTTGTCTCCACAGACCCCCCAGATACTTCCCCCAGCCTTTTGACGGAGGAGGTAGGAGGTAAATCAAATAAATA